GTCTCTATCCTTTCACTTGTTAGTTTATTGTTTACATTGCTGTATTTCTAAAGATATAATTTATTTCATATGCTGTATATGAAGGTAAGTGAAAAGTCAGAGGCTGTATGTGTTATAAGACACAAGTGGCAGAATCCCAGACTTGATCCCTGAAACATCTGAAGATAGTCTTTATTTTACAACATTTCAATGAACTATCTATACCTCACTACACTAAGTATGGTGCTTGTTTTGTAATCCAGTCAAATTCAGTACTCAGTAATATCATCAATTGTATGAGATAAAATGGCAAAACGGAAAGAAGATGAGGGTTTGGAGGCCTGCTCCTAGTCTCCTTTTCAGCTTTCTGGGACCCAACTTACCTTACTGGCCTTTTTATAATATTACCACCCTTCACATGCTCTACAATCCAATCAAAGCAAAGAAAACACTGGTTACTTCATTTTGTGCAAATGGAAGAGGAATTACATCTCATTCTTATATTTAGGAGTTGTATTACATTACTTGTTCTCTGTGGAAAGGAATTCTAATCATCTGATATGTGGATGGATTTATTTCTCCCAACTTAGTTATCCTATTGGGTAATTTTAGAAGCACTTCAGAGGAACAGAGGAAATGAGCATATTTTTTAAGGATTTTATTCATCAGCCTAAGAAAAAGTAGGTAATTGTAAATTTTCCAATACCCTCTTCCCCTAGTATCCAATGGTGGTAGGGTGCAGGGGAGGAGGGCGCAGCAAGCCTTTTCCCTCTAATATTTTCCTGGTTTTATTTTTCTGGTCTTTGGAGTTCAAGCTGTACACATTGACAGTTACTCAATAAACGTTCAACAAATGAAGTTGTAAATTTCGATTGTCACTCTTATTTCTGACTCCCATTACCAGTTGATCAACAAGAATTAAGTGCTTTTTTAAATACCATGTAAAAATAGTGAGAAGTAAACCCAGGCTGCTTTGCTATTTTCCTGGCACAAATCATTACTTTGGGCAAGTGGTAATGTGCAAAGTGAATTTTAGAAAGCATTCTTTGGCAGGGTGCAGTGGCATGAGCCTGTAAATCTCGCTGCTGGGGAAGCTGAGGACAGTGGATCACCTGAGCTCAAGGAGGACTAAAGCGGATTCAGTGACCACACTATGGTGGCTCCAGGTGCAGGGGGCCACCAGGTGGCCAGGGAGGGGTAAATCAGCCCAGATCAACAAGACAAAAGATGCCATGATGATGAGCAGTATGAATCAAACCCAGGAGGAGCTATTCTATTTCCAGCCAGACCAAGTCTCTTAATAAAACACACACAGAGTCCCTTATGTAACTAGTATAAATGTATTTCTCATTTTAAAATGCTAACAATAGAACACCTAGATTTTGCCAACATTATTGATAAAAATCAGTGTGTGCTTTCTTTACTGGAATTCTACCTACAAATTTAGACAAACTATCATTTAATTTTTTTTTGGAAGCTTTAAAAAAACAACAACAACAACCTGTTGAATTCATTTTCCTTTCCCTCTGAGTAGTTTTTCTGGGAACAAAGATAAACACAGACATCAATATCACAGAACCACAACTGACTGAAATAAAGGCACTCTACTCTAGAAAAGCACTTTGGGGTGTTTATCTTTCATCTCCACAAAGAATATTTCTTTTCTCCTTGGGTTGCCTATTAAAAAAATTAATATATATCTACTGTTTCATTAAATAAGTTTCACCTAAAAAGCCTTCCTTAAGAAGAACATTAAAGCTTTACTTTGAGTGACTTGAGGGAATAAATACATACTTACGAAATATTAAGGAAAATGCCTGGCTTCCATTAATGCTGACACACTCTCTCCTACCCAGATAATTATTATTTCTTCACTTCAGGGCTTTGGGAGGTCCGTGATTTCACTGGCAAGGCTACTTATCACTTTCCTCTTCCAATGCAGACTAAAGGCCCTCCACACTTTATTAGTCATTTTTCACAAGTTTCTGTGGCCCAAAAATGAACCACCTTCCGGGGGGGGGGGGGTGCAGTCTTTTGGTAACAAATGTCTCCCAACAGCCAAGATGGCCCTCAAAGGACTGATACACAATTAGTCACCAGACCTGTACTTGGAAGCCTTTCTAGCCAGAGCCACCTTCACTTCTCTGACAAAGGTTCATTAGTATTTTTCATATCATTTGCTTTTAAAAGTCAGATTCATAAATAATCTACCACATAAATCAATGACCAATGAATATCTGCTTAACAAATCTATACCACTCCCATATGACACAGCAAGTAAGACTCTTCTGTGTTGCATCATAGCCTGGAGCTAACTTCACACAGACAAGAGAAAAAGATAGACGGACCTAGCAGAAGAGCTGGATGGATTTTAGTGAAGTAGAAAAGGAAATAAGGTAAAATACTGGCTGCTAAATTTTGCCTCTAATAGTAATTAGAATGCTAGGGGATCACAGTTTGTGGGGGATCAAGTCTACTTTTGAAAATGCTCCAGAAAAGGACCCATGTTCAGCCCCCTGTAATGCTTATGCTTCTCCCTAGGACCATAGAGGCCCCCAAAAGGTAGTTAAAAATCAGTGATAAAAAAAAGACCTACCCCACCCCTACGTTTTGCATATCCTCTAAGCATTTCAAACTTTCAAAGACCAAGTGACTTCGAATGTTCACATATTCAAAACAGTTTAAACTAAAACAAGAGTTTTAGGGGAATTATCACACTAAGGCACATTCATTTCTAGGAGCTCACAGGGAGAGCTCTGCATATTAAAAGGCATCTAATATTTTCTGAATGAATATACTTAGTAACTGAATCAAGATCTAGTAAGAAAGGCAATTTTTAAAGAGAAGTCAGGGGTGGGATCTATTTTCTCACATGTAAAATCAAGGATTTGGACTTTGAATTCAGTTTTTTCAAGATTGAGAAATTCCAAGATGATTTTGATTAATATTATAAAGACAAAAAGAAATGGATATTGCTACCAACAAAAAGCGTGTGTTTTAAAATAATATTAGATTTATGTAGACTTTAAAATTAGCAGGGCACCTTAATTTTTCCATTTGAACCTCACAAATCCTAGAAGTGGCTATTATAAGCATATCATATCTATTTTAAGAAGAGGAAACAAATTCATAAGTTAAGTAACTTATTGAGGGCCACCCCCACCCACCTAGTAATGGGCAGTGTCAGAATTTCAACCCATCCCTTCCTAATTCCAGTTCAGCACTCAATCCACTATGCCTCTAGAAAGTAATTAAGACATTTGGAATTTTCCTTCTGGCATTTTTGTTGTTGAGAATGATGGAGACAGGCTAATTATGGCAAAACTGTAAGTAACTGGATTTTGAAACTTTATCAACCTACTTGAAGGCATGTAAAGTTATACATACCTCAAGCTGAGCTTGGGTAGATAGGTAGGCTCCCCTCACAGGACTTATATTAGCTATACTAAGACCCACTAGAATACAGAATTTAGAGTCCACCCCACTATTACTAAATTGCAGCAACAGTTTTGACTCCAATCACCATTACTCCAAAACTGTGCTATTAAAATGGTATTATTCCTAAAGCATAAACAATCTTCAACAAAAAGGTCACACTGTGTTGCTTTTGGAAATGTTAATTAAGACTGGTGAAAATAAGCACAGAATTATCTCCCAAAGAAAGCAAAGTAAGAATTTACAAAGGTTTCATTTTCATTAGCAAACACTGTTAACTGGCAGTTTAGGTAAACTATAAAGCAATAACAACTCCCCTAACTGTTAAACTCAACTTCAGCGGCAAATACCTCATCTCACTACAAGGGCAGTAACAAGTGACAACGTCCGAAAGCTGCCATTTGAATAAAGAAAAAGGTTCTATCAAGTCCTGACACAGCCAGGTCCCCATTAAGCGGGCACGTGTATTTAGAAGTTATAGTCATGGAAAATAAAGTAACCTGAAGAAGTTAGGTGGCACAGTGAATAAGGCGCTGGGCCTGGACTTCCTGAGTCCAAATCTGGCCTCAGACACTTCCGAGCTGTGTGACCCTGGGTGAGTCACTTAACCCTGTCTGCCTCAGTTTCCCCGTCTGTAAAATAAGCTGGAGAAGGAAACGGCAAACCACTCCAGCATCTTTGCCAAGAAAACCCCAAGTGGGGCCACGAGGTACTCCTCGTGTAGTACAACAACGGTAACTGGTTCCAGCCCAAGGCAAAGACGCCGTGCAAACTGCAATAACGCAACCAGGTCTAGGGATTTCTCATTCGCACTCTTCGGACCCGGTTCTAACTGCAGAGATTGCCAGCTCCATCAGATTCGGCGGGGCCGCACAGTCACTAAAATCCATTCCCAGGATGGCTCGGAAGCAGCGTTCTCGTGACACGCAAAGATGACTACTAGCTCTGGTGTCAGATCTACCCTTTGCCATTCATTCCCCGAGGGACCGTGGGCGAGCCCCTTCAGTTTGCTCGAGCGTCCAAGGAAGCCTTCCAGCTCCAGATCCGTAGAGCCCCGCGCTCACGAGGGGCAATGACAAACAGCCCTCCGCGGGGGGTCCCGGGCACCGGCCTGGATCAGCCCACCTCGGTCCCGGGCAAAGCCTCGCTGCCAACGCTGGGCCAGGCAATGCCAGAGCCCAGGACGGGCGCCACGTGGGGAAGGCCCGCGCGGGGCTGGCCCCCAGTTCTGGCTGGAGGGCCTGGGTGAATGAACGCCATCCCGCCTTCCTTGACGAGGGACGTAGCACCCATGTCCTAGACTCTTTCCCTTGTCCCAGGGGCATTGACTTCTCCACGGCCGCACCGCCCCAGGGCCCCGCGGAGCCCCCCGCCGCTCCACAGGTGCCCGTCCACGCCGCATCCCCACGCGGAGCTAAGCCCTTTGTGCTCGCGCGCGCGGGCGGGCGCGGACCTCCCCGGCAACCCCCCAGAGCAGCAGCGCGATCGGCTCCTCGTCCCCCCTCCCCCGCCCGCTCCGAGCGGAGCCGAGGCGCGCGCGCGGACCGAACCAAGGAACGCTCCGAGACGGTCGTTACCCGACTAACCGTTATGTGCCCGGATCCGGAGCGAGCGGGAGCGAGGGTGTGAGGGGCGGGCTCGCGCTCCGCTGGGCCCCGGTTCCAGGCTTGGCTCACGTCACCCGCTCGCTCGCTCCCTCCCCCAGCGGCGGCAGCGGCAGCAGCAGCAGCAGCAGCAGCCCCGAGAGCCCGGCACCCCGACCCCTTCGAAGCGCCCGCGCAGCTCTGCCCGTTAGAGCGCTTGCCCCTGCCTTATAATGTGCCCGGGGCGGGAGCATGCGCAAGGGGGCGGAGCTTCCCCCGCCGCCCCGCCCACCGCTCCTCAACACACACACACACACACACACGCACACACGCACACACGCACACACGCACACACACACACACACACACACACACACACCTCCGCACCCCCGCCCAGGACGACTCACACATCCACACTCACAAGCGTCTCCCCACGGCCCTGCCACGTGATCCCGGCTGGGCTTCCCGTCACCCCCGCCCCCACGCGCGGGGCCTCCTCTGCTGCCGAGAGACGCGAGATGGAGGAGCCTGGGGAGAAAGCCTCAGCTCCCAATCCGCCTCTGCTCGGGGTGTGCTTGGCGTAGCTGCTTAACCCCCCTCCCAGCTTGAAGTCACTTAATGTCTACACCGGTCCCCACGGAGAATCGCCGGTAAGCCCACCCCCGCACAGAAGGGAGAGTTTGCACGGGTGGATGTTCCGAGAAGGAGCATTACGGGAGAATCCCCGAGGAGGAAGACACTGCGTGGACCGTGTGGACCGGCGGGCTCTGCAGGACAATCCACAATCATTAAGCGCCTACGGCGAGCCTGGCTCGTGCTCAGAGCCCTGCGTTACAAAGGAAAGCAAAAGAACAGCCGCTGCCCTCCGGGAGCTCGCCTTTTAACTGCAAACAACTGCGTCTAAATAGGTGCATACCAGGTAGATAACAGAGTTGTTGTCCCACTCTTGGAGACCCCATTTGGAGGTTTCTTGGCAAAGACACGGGGGAGGGGTGGTTTACCATTTCCTTCCCAGCCCATTTTACAGACGAGGAAACTGAGGCAAACAAGGTGAAGGGACTTGCCCAGGATTACACAGCTAGTAAGTGTCTGAGGTCGGATTTGAACCCAAGTCTTCCTGACTCCAGACCGGTGCTAGCTAGGCCCACCTAGCCGCCCCAGTAGAAGGAAAGTCATCTGAGAGGAGAAAACACGAGCATTTGAATGGGGGGCTTGGACCGAGTCTGGAAGGATGCCAGGGAAAGGAGTCTGGAAAGACGCCCAGGGGAAAAAGGGGGTGGAGTATTCCAGGCATGGGGAGGAGGGGGACAGGCGATGCAAAATTCTGGAGACGGGAGATGGACTGACCTCAGCGAGTGAGCAGCAGAACGTGTGGCGGTCTTCCTGGACCACAGAGTTTCTGGACGGGAGCAAAATATAGGAATGCTGGGAAGATCCAGCTTGTGAAGGTTTTATCTTCTGATCCCGGAGGTAGTTGGGGATTACTGGAGTTTAGTGAATGGGAGGGGGGGCGGGGAGAGTGTAACATGATCAGAGCCACACTTTAGGAAAATCACTTTGACACCTAAATGTGGGGACTGATTTCATTCAGACCAATTAGAAGGTTATTTCAGTAGTCCAGATGGGATATGATAAGAGGCTGAACCAGGGCGGCAGCTATGTGAGTGAAGAGAAGGGGATGGATGGGAGAAACAGTAAGATTTGGCAACTGATTGGATACGAGGGATGAGTGGGAAGGAAGAGGAAAGGATGACACTGGGGTTGGAAACCTGGGTGCCCTGGAAAGTGGGCTCATGTGAATTTGGCAGAGGAGAGGATTTTGGGGAAAAGATAATGAGTTCTGTTTTGGATAGGTTGGGTTGAAGGTGACTACACGACATCCCGTTCAAAAAGTCCAAAAAGCACTTAGTTTGAGATTTGAGAGACTTGATCTCAGGAGAGAGACAAGGGCTTTACATAAATCTGTGAGTCTCCATGGAGATGACAGTTGAACCGATAGGAGCTGAGGAGGTGACTGAGTGAGCCATAGTTCTTAGCTCTGGGCCCCTTCTCAGAATAATATTTTTGAATGCACAAAATAAAATACATAGGATTGCAAAGGAAACTGATTACATTGAAATACAATTATAAATACATGTGTATATATGTATATATACATACATATGTATATTTTAAAATACACAAATTTACAGACCCCAAAAACCCCCAGTAGAGAAGGAAAAAGAAAAGTACTAAGACAGAGCCTTGAAGGGACACCGTAGCCATGCGGTGTGATGTAAATGGAGAATCAGCAGGACCACCACACCTCCACAGACATCCGTCTCCTTGTGGAAATTTAAGACTAGTAAGTGTTTCATCACCAGCAAGGGATGCCCCAGGCCACCCGAATGTCATCAAGATTGAATGAGTTAATGAATGAATTAATAAAAAAGCACTTACTGCGTGTCAAACTCTGGGCTAAATGCTGGGGTTACAAAGAGTCGCTAGTTCTCCAGGAGCTCCCCCTCTGCTTGGGGGAGAGGACATAGAAGAGAAAGTCCTACTGCACCACAGCTGGAAAGGCCTGGAAATTCTGAAGGTTCCGAAGTCAGTTGGATGAAAAGGTCCTTAGGTTACATAAGTAAGTCCAATGACAGTACCAGGAGACTTCAGAGGTTAGAGACAGAGAAGGTGGAGAGGTGGTGGTCCTTTATCTCCACTTGAGAGTTGTGGACTCCCATCCCAGCCAATTCCTGGGAATAGTCCAGCAGCCTGGTCTAAGACAGAGGGCAAGGAGAGAAGGGCCCTTAGTGGCTGCTCGAATGAATTTGGGACTACTGGAGGAGACAGGGAGAAAACATGTGTGGCCCTTGGTCTCTGATAGGCCAGTTGTGTAGTGCTGAGTATGAAGGAGGCATCTCCAAAAAAGGGCAGACCTGGGAGAGCATGTCTCCTTTTTTTTTTTTAATTTATTTATTTAGTTTTAGTTTTCAACATTCACTTCCACAAGATTTTGAGTTCCAAATTTTCTCCCTATCTCTCCCTCCCTCCTACTCCAAGAAAGCGTCCATTTTGAATATCCCTTCCTCTAATCTGTCCTCCCTTCTAAAACCCTCCCCTTCTCTTATCCCCTTCCACTTCTATTTTCCTGTAGGGCAGGATAAATTTCTATACCCCCATTGCCTGTATATCTCATTTCCCAGTTGCATGTAAAAACAATTTTTAACATTTGTTTTTAAAACTTTGGGTTCCAAATTTCTCTCCCTTCTTCCCTCCACACTCACCTCCATTGAGAAAGCAAGCAACTGGATACAGGTTATTTGTGTGTAGTCATGCAAAAACACTTCCATAATACACATGCAGTGAAAAACTAACTATATTTCTCTTCATCCTATCCCCACCCCCATTTATTCTATTCTCTCCTTTGACCCTGTCCCTCCTCAAAAGTATTTGCATCTGATTACCCCTCCCCCAATCTGCCCTCCCTTCTATCATCCCCTCCTCTCTTATCTCCATCCTCCCTATTTTCCTGCAGGGTAAGATAGATTTTCTTACCCAATTAAGTGTGTATGTTATTCCCTCCTCAAGCCAAATCTGATGAGAGTGAGATTCCCTTGTTCCCTGTCACCTTCCCCCACTTCCCTTCCACTGTCAAAGCTTTTTCTTGTCTGTTTTATGTGAGATAACTTACCCATTCGACCTTTCCCTTTCTCCTTCTCCCAGTGTAATCCTCTCTCACCCTTTAAGAGCACATCTCCTTGACCTACACTATGTGAAGCCAGTCATTAAAGCTGCTGCTAAGATGTACTCCACCAGGTCCACATACATTAGAAACCTTTCCAGCAGATTGCCATGGAAGTAAGCACTTACTTAGCAATATTAGCTCTACCCCAGCCTCTGCCACCTTCACGCCCATCTCTGGCTGGCAGCAGTGTACAAGGGCAATGCCGGTGGACTTCATTTGATAGAAGCCCTGGACTCTATCATTCCTCCATCAAATTATCTCCAGTTGCCTCCGTAGGATGCCTACCAGAGCAGAGGTATTACCACTGTGCCTGTTGGCAGGGTGAAGACTGGTTTCTTGAAGACAGACATGATGGTAACCTTCACTCCCAGAAATGCTACCATAGAGTCAGGGCTCGGTAGATGAGCCATGAGGCTTTTTCTGGAGGAAAAATAACCTGGTCATCAGGATGTGCTGCTTGACCAAATTACCACCCATTCTACTACAGACTAAATAACAAAAACCGTAGAATGAGTAACAGAATCTGACCCAACTATCTCCATCCACCTTAGGCTGAATATACAAAACCCTGCTGCACTGGACCCTGCAAATACTGCACTTAACCCACAACTAGAGAATTCCCTGTCTAACTTTTCTGTGGGGACAGTGTATCCCATGAGTCCATTCAAATGCTGCAAATGCTGCTGGCCACAAGTGGTATCCTGTCAGTTTGGCCGCTCTCTCCGTTTGACCTTCAGCCATGTGATCTGGCCAGTGGGTGAGATGCTCCCTGGGCTCTCTAGGAGCTCAGGTTGAGAAATTCTTCAACACAGCAAATGTGGATTTTAAGGTGAAGATCTTGTCAGCAGAGTAAAGTAACTAGAGACATTAGGAATGATGGAAAACCCTGGTAGAGGTCTGCAGTTCTGTGGTGCAGATGATCATTTAACCCAGCCAGGCCAGGTCCAGGCTGTCTACTCTTCAGTGGTGCTGGTGTCCAGTCAGGTCTGACTCTTAGTGACCCCACTGTCCGTGGGATTTTCTTGGCACTGGAATGTTTGCCATTTCCTTCGCCAGTGGATTGGGGCAAACATAGGTTAAGGGACTTTCTGAGGGTCACACAGCTGGCGAGTGTCTGAGGCTGGATTTGAACTTGGGTCTTCCTGACTCCAGGCCCCATGCTCTTGACACCGAGTCACTTAGCTGCCTGTTCTCTCCATTGTTATGTTACCGTATGGCTCACCTCTCGTTCAGGTTTGCTGAGTTGTAAAAGATTGACTCAAAATGTTGGCAAGCTGGAGAACAATCCCCAAGGCCCCAAAATCTGGGGATGCTGCCATTGTGCAGATACTTTTTGACCGACCTATGGGTGCGAAAAGTTTCTCCCAGAACCC